GAATGATTAAAGTTAATCAAGTATGGGCTTATGCCATGATTATATAGAAAACAAAGTTGAAAGGCATGTTTTGTATGTTTGGTGATTAAAAATGTGATAACTTATTATGTACAATGATCCAGGGGTCAAAAATGGTATTTTTGGATCAAGGACTTCAAGTAGAATATGCATGTAAAATTTCACGTTAATCGGACTCCGTTTGGGCGGTCAAACGGGCGTTGACCGCCAAGTCAACTACAATACCCGACCGGGTGTCTGCTGAAAAATTGGCCCCAAGGGCCGCTGTCTCCTATACTCGATCGAGTATGGATAGATACTCGATCGAGTATGCCTTGGAAATTAGCCTTACGGGCTCCTGTCTCCTGTACTCGACCGAGTATTGGTGGGTACTCGATCGAGTATTGAGTTATACTCAAAACGGGTAGTTTTTGAGTGGGTTAACGTGGACCGATCAGGCGGGACCCGTCCACGTTGGTTACTAAGGATTGTTATATGACTATAGGACCAGGTATTGTCCATAGTTGAGTGAACGAAAGGTTAGCCATATCCAGGTTAGGGTTTGGTTAGAAATAAGGTTGAGGTTGAGTATCCTCGGGACGGTAAATGATCCTAAAACTCGGTGAGGTTGAGTATCCTCAGGATGGTAAACAATCCTAAAACTCGGTGAGGTTGAGCATCCTCAGGACGGTAAACAATCCTAAAACTCGGTTGAGGTTGAGTATCCTCGGGACGGTAAATGATCCTAAAACTCGGTTGAGGTTGAGTATCCTCGGGACGGTAAATGATCCCAAAACTCGGTTGGGGTTGAGTATCCCCGGGAGGGTTAACACTCCTGAAACTCGGTAGGATATTATGAAGGTAGAATGTAGCTCTTAAGCTAGGCATTCAGGAATGAAAGGGGAAAGGTTGGGAAGTACCTTGTCTCTAAAAGACTCTTTTGTGAGAAAATGACTTACGGGTCAAGTATTTTACAAGTATATACGGTATGTATTATCTTGGGGATGGGGTAACAATGGTTACACCTATAAGTATATGTACCACCCTATTTTTGGGTCTCGTGTCTGAAACATTAGTTATTCCTCATATAGCCTGCTTGTCACTAGTACTTCTATGGAGTACTGACCCCTTCGGGGGCCCTCACATTTTTCAGGTTAAGGCTAGAGTCCTACCACCTGCACCTTTGCCTAGGGTGACTGATCAAGGAGGAAGACGTGGTTCGTGCTTCCATTCATCTTCAAAACTGATAAACTGCTCATGGATATTTTTAACAATGTTTTTTATTAAAACAATTGGGGGCCTGCGTGCCCGTATTTGCCACGTGTGGCTCAGTATCAAACATATCTTATTTTCCGCATTTGTTTGACTAATATATATTGATGTTGATTGTATGGGTTTACTAATCGGCTTGGCAATAGAACTCAACGGACGCCTTGTATGATTTGATAAGGATGAACTACGTTGTTCTTATTGGGTTGTACGGCGGTTATCTACGTGGCACGGACGCGGTCCGGGGCGTGACATCTTCTCTGGCCATTTAATCGCTAGTCAATCAATTGTTCAACCATTGAAACCAATGTTAGAGTAGGAGGAACCCGGGCATTGGGAGCATGAGACTTTGGGTGACTCTGACGAAATCACCATTTCCAAACTCATATTTAACTATGAAGTTCATACAACCACAATTTCCTTTTCTCCAGGCTTACTCTGATGCCTCAAACAGTTTTGATCACTCTGATGACTCTTTCTTTTCGGATGTTTTTATGGGACATGCGACTGAAAGCGATCGTCGACCTCCTATATCAAATCAGGAAGAAATTACAAACTCCAAATTCAACAGATCGATTTGCCGAAAATCAAAATTTGACACCTCCGCGAACTGCCTGCCAACAGACAACCTCAACACACAATTCAAGATCTACATAAAATCTCAGAAGAATAAAGAAGAGCCACAGTATGAGGACTAGATCTCACTCCAGAGATTTCCCTTGAATCTAATTGTTTTCTTAACTTGTCTTCTCTTTTCTTTTCTATGCTTTTTTCTTTTATTTACCTTCTTGCACTGTACTTTTTATTGTACGAACAAAATCGTCTTTGTTAGAAGAAAAAAAACAAAATAAAAACAATGGTATTCGACCCAAAGGCTTAAGCAATACAAAGATTGAATTTTTTTAATGACATTTATTACAAGTCAAATGAAACCTAGAATTCCAACGTATTTATTATCCAATAACAGTTAGAAAAGGACCTTTAATTACTCAATTAATGACACAATTTGAATTGAAACAATGGCAAAAATAAGACCTCAGCTTTTAGTTAGACAAAAATAGGACTGGTTTTCTTATAGGACAGAAAAGAGACTCCGCCATAGTGTTAACTCTAAAAAGCTCCTACCAGTCCCGTCCTCCCCATTTGCAACAAAGACCAGATTCGCAGATCTGAGAGGCCAGGCTGCCAGCGACCTGCAGACTTCCCTTCGGCTTCCACCGCTCACATCTGGAAGAGGCCGGCGACCATAAATCTGGAGCTCCTCGTCGCTCGCATCACCGCTCGCCTTTCGGCTTCCATCGTCGCCCACCATAGTTCCTTTTTCGGCCTGCTTCGATTTCATCGCTGGTCACCTCACCGACTCACCATTCAAGTTCCGTTGCCATTGTGGCCACTGTAGGTCTGCACTGTCCGTATTTTCATCTCGTTCTGTTTTGACGCTTGTGCTGAAACGGAAAGACTGCGGCTAGATCGATTTGAGATTTCAATTTTGGTGCGGCGGTGCTCCACCGCCTCTGTTGCGGTGGTTTCTTCTGGGGTGAGGGTTGGGGAGGGGGACTGCTGGGCTAGGAAGGGCTTCTGCAGAGGCGGACTGAATCTGGGTAGTGGGCTGCGACGCTGCAGCGATTAGGGGATAAGGTGGGTGGGGCTGGCAAAGTGCCGATGGTCTCCAGCGATGGCCCGATATGGTGGTCACTGGCGGAGACCAGAGGTGGTGGTCGCCCGTGGCTGGAGGCGGTGGTCGCTGGCGGAGACCGGAGGTGGTGGTCGCCCGTGGCTGGAGGTGGTGGTCGCCCGCGGCCGGAGGTAGTGGACGCCCACAGTGGCTTGAGATAGTGGTTTCCGGAGGTACTGGTTGCCGTCGGTGGTGGCAGGAGGCGGTGGTCATTATTTGTAATTGGTCGGTGTCAGGTAATTGTGACCAATCAAATTGTGTAGTTATAATTGATTGGGTGAAGTAACTGTAATTGGTCGGGTAATTGTAACTGGTTTGGTCGGGTAATTGTAATTGGTCGATTCGGGTAATTGTAACTGGTCGAATCAGGTAACTGTAAATGGTTGATTCGGGTAATTGTAAGTTTGTAATTGGTCGGGTCATGTAACTATAACTGGTCGGTTGAGTAATTGATCGGTGGGTAATTGTAACTGGTTTGATCAGCTAAGTGTAACTTGTATAGTCGGGTAATTGTAATTGACGGCAAGTAATTGTAACTGGTTGGACGCCCAATTGTAACTGACGTCGAGCAAATGTAACTGATTACATGAGTAATTCTAATTGGTCGGGCGTGTAATTGTAACTGGTTAGACGGATAATTGTAACAGATCGAACGAGTAAATGTAACTGACAGCGAGTTACTATAATTAATTATACAAATAATTTTAATTAAGGAAAAATAGGTATTATTAATCCCAACTATACCTGGTCCGCTTTTAATAATCCCTACTGTTGTTTATTTCCCTGTACTCCCAACTTCCCCCACCCTTTTCCAAAAATAGACCCCCACACTTGAGACCGGTAGAAGCGGTAAACGCTTCATTTAAACAAACGGGTACACCACATCTAACCCGTTACCTACCCCTCCGCAGTTAATCCTTATCCACCTCTTCTATCCAACCAACCCATCTTCTCACACGAATATGGCTTCCTTTGCAGCTGGAGATTAGCCGTTCGAAGCAAGCAACACCTTCCTCCGACCATAACAAACGGTACTATCTGTAAAAACCCTAAATTTTGGTTTGTGTTATATTAGTGACTTCCCAAAAGCCAAATAAACTGGTTGTGGCAGATTTGTGGGATGCATTCTTATATGATTTTTCTTCATTTAATTTTGTAGGTTATACTTCACAATCTGCAGTTGAGATGGGTTCTTCAACTGTTATTACAATTAAGATGTGGCATGGAGGTATATTTAAGAAGAATAGTCAAAACATGTTAGAATATGAAAAGGGTGAGTATAAATGCTTTGATATTGATGCTGATGAGTTATGCTGGTTTTGGCTAGAAGAATTAGCGGGTAAATGTGGAAAATATAGTAGTATAGATGATATATATTACTTGATTCCGGGAAAGAGTCTTGACAAGGGTTTAAGAAGGGTTAAATTTGATGATGAAGTGAGGGAAATGTACAAGGTTGCTATTGAATATAGAATCGTTGATTGCTATATAAGACATGGTTTAAGCTCGCCTGAATTGGTACTATTACTTGAGGGTTTTGGAGATAATGCAGGGGGGAGTACTGACCCAGGTGGGAAGGCAGAACAAACATACAGTTCACAACAATCCCAACACCATTCTTACACAACAAATGAAGATGTGCTAGATGGTGAGGATATTGGTGATCAAATTCTGAAAGTTCAGAGGATGTTGAAGGTGAAGATGCTGACGAATTAGAGGTCCCGCTAGTAGGCTCCGATGAGGATACCAGTGATGAAGAGTTTAGAGAGTCAAGAAGAAGAGTAAGTGGTTGGAATTCTAAGATCCTTGAGATAGCCAAAGAATTCCAAAAGGCAGCAGCTGCATCAAAAGTTGAAGGTAAGACACCCTCAACTACAACAGGGGAGGAGGAAGAAAATGTACCTCAATGTGTTAGTGACTATGAGGAATCCGCTGGAGAAATCCACACATCCCCTGAGAGTGAAGAAGATGACATTGTATCAAGAAGAAAGAGAGACAAAGTTGCAGTAGTAAATGCCAATACAGATTTCAAAGAACTGGTTTGGAAAGCTGGCATGAGATTTGAAAATAGGGATAAATTTAAAGATGCAGTAGCCAGATTTGCAATAGCCCAAGGTAGGAATTTGAAGATAAATGTTAGCCACAAGAAGAGACAACAAAGGATTGGTGCAAGATGTGTGGAAGGCTGCCCCTTTAGGTTGTATGTAAGCTGGGATAGTAGAAGAGCCTGTTTTGTTGTTAAAACTATAATAGGAGCTCACAATTGCAACAGAAACATGCAAAAAAATAGACAGTTAAAGGCACCCTGGGTAGCACTTCAGTTTTTGGAGGTCTTCAAGTCTAGACCACACTGGCCTGCAAAAGAAATTATGGAAACAATCGGGAGAGCTTACAAAGTGTTAGTCAAGAGGGATTTTGCATACAAAGTTAAATACCATGCCCATAGAAAACTTCATGGGAGTATGGCAGAGCACTACAATAAGATTGGAAGATATTTGGAAGCTCTAACTCAAGCAAACCCCCTTAGCCACTTCAAGGTATTCACAGACCCAATGATCAAGAGTTTCCCCCCAACATTTCAGAGATTCTTTGTGTGCTTTAAAGGACTTAAAGATGGGTGGTTGAGTGGAGGCAGGAGTGTCTTGTGTGTGGATGGTTATTTCATAAAAACATTTCTGGGTGGGATGTTATTATCTGCTATTGGAAGAGACTCCAATGACCAAATGTACCCAGTGGCTTGGGCTGTAGTTGAAGGTGAAAATAACTCAAGTTGGGAATGGTTTTTCTGTGAACTGAAAAAGAACTTAGGCAGTACTGATGGTGTTGATATGACATTCATTTCTGATGAACACCAGGTGAAGTTATGTGTGTGTGTGTTTAAATATGTACATATTTATTAGGTATTTCAGAATGTTATTGTTTATTTCTTGTACCTAACCTTAAAATTAACTTATGACAGTCTATATTGCGTGGAGTGCACAAAGTATTTCCAATGGCTGAGCACAGACATTGTGCTAGACATGTGTTTGCCAACTGGCACAAAAGTCACAAAGGGGATGAGCTTAAAATGTTATTCTGGAAAGCTGCAAAAGCATACAATGGGGCAGATTTGGAGGAAGCTTTGGATGAAATGAGTAAGGTGAATCCTGTAGCAGCCAGTCCATTTAGGTCATGCACACCTAATTTGTTTTGCAGAGCATTTGTTAGGACATCAAGTAAATGTGATGTTATAGTGAGTAATATGGCTGAAACTTTTAACAGTTACATAATAAATGCTAGAACTAAGCATTTGATTTTTATGCTAGAAGACATTAGAGGTGCATTGATGCAAAGGATGGTTGTAAAGAGGCAGCAAATGGAAAAAATTGTGGGTGTCATATGTCCTAGGATTAAGGCTAGGCTAGAGAAGGAAAAGGATCAGGCAACCTATTGCACACCTTTACCATCTAGTGAAGTTTTATTTGAAGTTTGTCATAGGCTAGATAGTCTGACAGTGAACTTAGAAGCTAGAACATGCACCTGTAGGAAGTGGGACTTGAGTGGGATACCATGTTGTCATGCTATTGCTTGTATTTTCTTCAAAAATGATGCACCTGAAAACTATGTCCATGAGTGCTACACTAAAGAGGCTTACCTGAGGATGTACTCAACTGGAATTGCACCTTTGACCGGAGAGAGACACTGGCCAAAGGTAGATATGCCTTTGGATCCTCCACCTATAAAAATAGGTCCAGGTAGACCAAGGAAAAACAGGATGAAGTCACCTCATGAAAATCCCAAAAAGCCTGGAAAATTAACAAAACATGGTGTTGAGATGTCATGTAGTGTGTGTCAGTCGAAGAATCATAATAAAAGAACATGCCCTGAAAAAAACAAGGCAATTGAGCCTCCAGTAAAGAGGATGAGGGGAAGACCAAAAAAGGTTATCCAACCTGCCCAAACACAGTCAGATAATAATCAAAATAATGCACAACCTTCAAGACTTGGGAGAGGAGGAAGGTTGATCCATGCAAGAGGAAGAGGTGTAGGAGGGAAAGGTGCAAGGGGGAGAGGAAGGGGTGACATTCCAGTAGGATTTGGAGTCATAATTGATGGGAATGGAAACACTTGGACTAATGTAAGTACATTAGTGGATGTCATTTACATTTATATTGTTTTAGTGTTTCCTATTTTTCCTGAATGTCTTTTGTTCTTGCTTACAGTCTCCTAGGCAGCATGGTGGTCCTACAAATATTTCAGAGGCTTCGCAGCAGGGTCTTCTTAGCCTATTTCATTTCAAGAAGGTGCTCATCAAAGGAAATGGAGTGAAGCAGTAGAGTGACATATGTTTTTGTAGAGTGAAATGTTTAATTTGTGGCCTAATTTTATGTTAAGACTTCGGTAGCATGTTTAATGTGTGGCCTACTTTATTAGTATGAATTGTATTTGTAAGGTTCTTATGACATATGTTTGGTTGAATTGTACTACTCTATCAGAGTTGAGACTTGTTTAGTTCTTATGACATATGTTTGGTTGAATGACTCAATGTTTGGGTATGTTTATTTACTCTTCATTTAAGTGTTTGGTCAATGTAGTTTTTACTTTTTTTATTCACTTGTGTACTGCTTTTAGTTAAGTTCCGTGACCAAACTGAACTGCTTTATTTTTTATGAACAGGTTCATTTAAGTACTGCTTTATTGAACTTTAACCTGAAAGCAGTACTGTTTTATTTCCCTGCTTTCATAACAAGTTTTATTTGTGACCAGGTTCATTTATGTAGTTTTTATAGTACACAAAACATGAAAGTTTTATTTGGGTAAATACTAAATAGAGTACTGTTTTATTTTTATGACCAGGTTCATTTAAGTACTTGTAACTAGGTTCATTTAAGTACTACTTTAACCTGACCTGGTCATAGAACTTTAAATCAGTTAAGTTCTGTTTACACATCCCTGTATTTTTAATTCACTTGTGTACTACTTCATTTTTAATTCACTTGAATTGTGTACTGCTTTCAGTTCAGTTTTTAATTCACTTGTGTTTGGTCATATGTTGGATTTCTGAACCTGGGAACTCATTCATGGGAACTCAAGGTTCAATGACTCAGAGTTTACTCAATGTAGTTTTAAGTGTATTTCTTTCATGTATTGTACTAGTTTATACAAGGATGTGTTGATTGAAAGTTGTAATGTATTGCTTGTACAGTGATGTGTTATTTTTAGCAATTCACTCAAACTGGTTTGAAGTGTGTTTTAGACACCTTTAATATCATGTGGAGGTTGAGATGGAGGATATATTTTAGAGTAGCAGCTGTGTTTCACAAGTTCGAAGTCAGGGAAGAAACTCTATTCATGACAATGAACCTTAATAGACAGTTTCTTGGAGAAGCAGGGTGTTGTCATCCTAATATTCTGAATACAATATTGACGGTCCCGGATAGGGTAAAAGTCTAGAGGGGGGGGGTGAATAGACTTTTAAATCTTTTTCAACTTTATGATGTTTTCCCTCTAGAAAAGTTGATCTATAATCTTTTGAGAGATTAATAGATGCACAGCGGAAGTCTTTACCCTTTAGGTGATGAGAGTTTGGCCACTTTCTAATTTGGGAAGATTGGACTTTGAACAGTGAGCAGTTGGCTTGGCAGTTGCCTGGATGGCAGGAAACTGCTGAGGCAACTGCTAGTTCAAAACAGGAGTTTGGAACAGATAATTATATGGCCTTGAGTAGAATGATGAGGACTTTATGAATATGTGTAGAGCTAAAGAGAATAAGAAGTTTAGCCTGAGCAGAGGTCTGAGCAGTTGGGTAGACCCAGGGAACTGCTAAGCCGTCTGCTGTTTATGAAAAGAGTATTTCTGAGAATTGGCAAGCCAAACCTTTTAGTAGTGGTATTCCAAAGCTCGTGTGAAACAGTTGCCTCAAAGAAAAGTGAGTTATTAAGCAGTAGGATAAGCAGTAGAGTCAATTAAGACTACTGCTTAGGATGCTGCTGGCAAACTACGATCCTTTTAGTGAGAAGTGTTGGGTGTGAGCTTTGGTGAGTAAAGGAGAATCAACACACGATGTATCCTGGTTCAGAGGTGGTGTAATCCTCCTACATCCAGTCCCACCCTATTTCAGATGGATTTCCACTAAAGTATTAAGCCCAATACACTTAGTGCCAATCTAGCCTTTACAACACTTAGGCCTAGATTGAAGGTTTTTCACAATGAGTATAACACCACTCAAAGTTACTCAGTCCTTAGAATTTTCTCAATTGATCCAGTGGGGATCAAAAGGTACTCTATCTCTCTAACTACACTTTAGGATCCGAACAACTGTTCTCCTAAGTGTTTACAACCACTTGTGAAATGTTACAAGAAAGTTCTAACCTCCAACTATGAACTAAGCTCTAAAAATGTGAAAGTGTTGATCTAATCTAAGAGCTTAGTGAAGCATGAGGCTAAGCAGAGAGTAAAGTTGAGTTTGCACTTTCTCTTTTTTGCTAGATAGCTTCGTATATGCTTTGATGGAAGTATTTCTCTGCTTAGGATGCTCAAGCTTGTTTTCGAACTCATGCTTCTACCTATATTTATAGGCCTTCATGGTTGATTAATCTCATCCGTTGGTTGAGATGAATTAATCCTTGTCGTTGAAGATCTCTGGCAAGGATAAGTAGTACAATTGTCTTCTTGTGCTGGAGCATTGATTTCAGCTGATCACTTTGTCTTGTATTGTGTGTGCGTCCCATGCCGCGGCCCCAGTACTTGATCCGGTATTAAATGCCGGTCAAGTTTTGTCTTCAATCATATACATTCAATGTATATGTTTATGTGACATTTAATTTTTGTGTGCTAATAGAATTATACTGGTAGGATTTAAATATCCTTTTTAAGGTAAAAGAATTTTTACCTTATTGCATTTTGACTTTCCAGTGTAATTTTATTAGTTCCAAAAATTTTACATTTATTTTGTCACATTTTAATGCTAATATTTGAATTTAATTTAGACACAATGTACGGGTGCAAAGTATAGTGGCATCATCAAAATCTATCAAAATTGGGTACTAACAGTTTCCCCCTTTTTGATGATGCCAAAACTATACAACACAAGAAACAATTGTTTTTATTGATTTTTATTGAGAATATTGTACATTGGTCTACAGTCTAAAGTACAATAGTTTTTAGTCACTTTCGGACTTTCCTTGAAGTCTATTTTTGTTGGTTTCCTCCAGCTTCTTCTTGGCTTTTGCTTCTTCAGCTTTCCTTTGTCTGATCTCCGCTTCTTCTTGGAGGAGCTTGTTCTTTCTTCTGGTTTCTGCGGCTTTCTTTGCTGCTATTGATCTTACAGATGAGGGGCCTGCTTGTGTTGTTCTTTCCCCCTTTTTGGCATCAGCAGCAGGGGTCTGGCTGTCGTTGAATAGAGCTTCTATCTCTGGATCAGAGTCAGGATCTTCATGTGGTCTTCTGGATGTATTCAGACCATAGACTTCAATAGACAGTGCCTTGATGTGGTTGTTGATGTCCAGAAGATCCGTTTTTACCTCATCTTTGACTTCGTGTTCCAAGTTCTGAAGTTTGTGTTTTGTCTGTGCCAAGTCTTGTCCTAGTTTCTGGAAGTCCTTGCCTTGCTGCCAGAAGGTTTCTTGAGTTCCTTTGTGGAGAACTTGGAAGTTGTGAGCAATGTCCTTAGTGAGCTGTTCATAGGCCTTAGCATGAGCCTGCTGCTCCATAAGGAATTTCTGAGATAGCTTGAACATGGCAGGGAATTCCTCATTCCTTAGTTTCATGAGATACTCTTCATGTTCCTGCACCTTTTGAAAAGCCTGCTGAAGATTAGAAGGTAAGGTTGGGAGAGAAGGCAATTGCTCAGAAGTACTTGCTGCAGTAGGCTGAGCTTGTTGCTGCTTTTGAAGTACTAGCACTTGTCTTTCGAGTTCTTCATTCTTGGCTTTTAGTGCAGATATCTCCTGCTTTATTTCATTGGTCAAGGCAGACTGCTGAGAGGTTTTGGTCTTGAGGAGAGCTCTCTGCTCAGCATTGAACACTTGTTGGATCATTGAATCTTTCCTGATGTGGCTGTGGACTTCTCCAAACCTGATATCTAGCCTTTCTTCTAGTTGCTTCTTCATTTTGATGAGTCTCTTGTGTAGGCGGACCTCGGCATTGCTGATGAACTTGGTTGTAGCTCTTCTTTCTCTGATGAAGACAGCTGCCAGGGTAGCCGTGTCCTCTTTATCATTTTCAGAGTTGAGAATGAATGTGTGAGAGTGCTGCTCTAAGTTCTGAGTAGAATCTGGAGAGGGGGCACCGGATTGTTGGTCTTCGTTTGCAGAGGTGTGAGAGGTAGGCTTCTGGAGTGAAATATCTGCATGCTGCTGCTCAGGGGACTGCTGAGCTACTTCCTCCATTGCTTTGGAGGTTTCCCCACCTCCTCTAGTTTCAAACCTTGATTTCTGTAGAACCATTTGAAGTTCTTTATCACTTGAGGAGGAAGAGGAGATGACCTGTTTACCTCTATTCTTTGGGGGGCCATTCGGACCAGAATGGTTGTCATCATCCAGATCATCGTCATCATTGTTAGTGGAGTGTACATCTTGTTCCTTATTAGTCAGCGGTTTCTTCTTTGAAAGATAGATTAGATGAATCTGATGAAGGTTGGTTGCTTTTGCTATATCTTTGGTGCCAAGCCAGGTTAGAGCGAAATACTCTTCACTGATGAATTTTGTTAGTGTTCTGGCTTGGTGGAGAATGTTGGAGAGCTTCCATTCTCTCCAAGCTTTGACCCTGCTCCAGTCAGCTTCCAATTTGTCAAGAGATGTACAATCTGGCTGTGAAGATGGAGCCATCTGCTCTTGGATTGGAGTGTCCTGGTTTAGAGCCGTCTGCACTTCTTCTTGAGTATTCTGCTCCTCTATTGGAGCAGGTTGGTCTGTTTGTTGATGATTTGTTGGAAGAAGAATGGAAAGTGGAATAGCAGAGTTGTTGCTTGCATTTGAAGAGTTGGAAGAGGACTCTGCTTCCTCTTGAATGATGGTAAGAGGAGAGCCTTCTGCTGCATGCATAGATGATGCTGCTTCATCCATTTCTCTGTTTAGATTCCTGGTTGCTGTCCTTGGCCTTTTTGATTGTGATTCTTGACACCCAGATCGTAGTCTTTTGGCAGTCTTGGTATCAACTTTGAAAGATACCAAGAGTAGGTCATTGGAGAGGAAGGAATCATCAATCTTTGGAATTTCTGGAGCTCCTACCTTGGAAGTTTGGAATAGGAATTTCCTCCAAGTAGTTGCCTCCTTTCTTATCCCCAGTATACCCTTCTTTTTGAGTAGTTCTCCGATGAGAAATCCGTAGCCTAGCAACGGTAGTGTACCATCCTCCTTTCTTCCTGTATGTGATTTGGTCACATAGCGTTTAAGTTCAAGAGAAACATACTTGGTCCAGTTGTATGGAGTTCCTGAGATGATGGCGGCTAGTGGCTTTGCCCTTTGTGCATTTAACTCATCAAGTGCTGTGGTTCTTGTGTCAA